CAAAAGTCTATATATGATATAGTGAATATTTCAGAGAAGAGATCAATGCATTAATGGCTTATAATTTCAAAAGTAACCTGACACTTATGAATAATCATTGTCAGTTTTTCAGAAGGTCGTTTCTTGCCAGCAAAAAGTAAAAATAGAGAGGGAAAGCAGAAGAATTGAGTCAGTCAGTATTTTATAGTTGTATATTTTATCAGATAAATCAATTTCCGATTTCTCCTCTCCATAGTTCAAGAACAATTGAAACACAAGTTTTATAGATTTGATAAAATGTACTGCTTTTTCCAATTCTTCCACAAATCATATTGAGAAAAAAGCTCTGTTATAATTACGGTAGAACAACTTGCATCTTGCTTTCATTTCTGAACTCATGACAGGAAGTAATTTCCAAGTTCCTAAAAACTGGGTTTATAAAAAAAAAATGTATTTTGCTGTTTCTCCAAGCAGTTTGAAGCAGCTTATATATCATTTGCAGGCAACTATAAGTCCTGCTTATCTGCCAATCAATTTTCATTCAAATAATTGTGCCAGTGGCTTAGAATCTGACAGTGTTACACAGCCTATTCATAAGCTTGATTCCTAAAAACTCTGGTGCAGTCTTGGTCCAAGATGTGGTGATGGTGCCTAGAGATGTGAAATATGCCTCTAACACATTTGTTTAATCATGAACACAAAGTTACACCAGAAAATACAGTAACTCAAGAATTTTTTGTATTGGAGAGCTAAGATAACTAGGCTTTACTTATTTGTCCAGCCCTTTTGTCCAGCCCTTTTGGTAGTTTGTACAAAATTTGATAGTTTGTGTTGCTGAAATGGCACCATTGTTTTTAACATCTGTTGCCTTTGTGATTTTTATTATTTTTAATAATAGTTTTTTTTATCTGTTATCTGTTTTATAATCTTACGGTATGCTGCCTAAAATAACTTTTCAGGGAGATGTTGTTACTTGCGAAGTCGTGTCTGACCCATCGTGACCCCATGGACAACGTTTCTCCAGACTTTCCTGTCCTCTACCATCCTCTGGAGTCCATTTAAGCTCACGCCTACTGCTTTGGTGACTCCATCCAGCCACCTCGTTTTAGGGAGATAGGCTATATAAATTTGACGTATAATTAATTAATTAAACATTGGGATGTTTCTTCATAAAATAAGCCTCCTATATAATGTTTTGGATCAGCCTGTACTGAGATGAGATTTTTCGCTTCTATTTCTGGAGGAGTTGGCTGTTGGCCAATTGAGATTTAATTGTGAAGGAAATTGCATATCCACCCAAACCCCCATTCAACTCAGCTTGGCGTGGGCACTGTGGAAGCTTTCTGCTCTTGTTCAGTGTTATTTGGACAATTTGTTCCTGTTTGCTGCATATTGTAGCTTCCAGCTATGCTTTTTCAATAAAGAAAATTTGAGGTGGGAGACGTTGTTGAATACCCTAATACTTTAGTTAAATAATCAAGTTGAGGTTGGCAGTCTTTTATGAACATATACTCTGTATTACTCTTTTTCTAGCTGGTTTCAAAGCTGTTGAAGCTTTTTCACTGTTTTAAGCTTATGGAATCATAATGTGTTTCAACTCTCTTTTCTGAATAACAAGGACAAAAACATATACTTCTGTCTTCCCTGTGAAACATATTTTTTCTTTTGACTTACAGATTCATACAATGTACATACATAACAGCCTACATTTTCAAAGGCTTTTCTTTTTTGTAAGGCATCACTCCCCCCTTCCCCTTTTAGCTTTTTATTAACTTGTTTTAGTGACTTGCTGACTGTTTCTGCTTGAAATTATTTTCAGGTATTGATGTTGTGGATTGTGTTAATTTAGGCTTTAAAGATTGATTAAAAAGTAAGATGCTTATGGTCAGAATAAGTAAAACTGTGTACTGTAAAAGCATTTGTAAGAAACAAATATGTGCTCTGTAGAAGATACCAAAAAAAAAGAAAATCGTACATTCCTATATGTGTATGTGTATGAATTAACATATTGTACGTATTACAAGTCACTCAAGATTTAAACATCCTTTTGATGGCTCAGTGGCTAAGCTTGTCGATCAAAAGGTTGGCAGTTCAGCGGTTCGAATCCCTAGTGCCGTGTAACGGGGTGAGCTCCCATTACTTGTCCCAGCTTCTGCCAATCTAGCAGTTCAAAAGCATGTAAAAAATGCAAGTAGAAAAATAGGGACCACCTTTGGTGGGAAGGTAAAAGTGCTTTGGCATTTAGTCATGCCAGCCACATGACCACGGAGATGTCTTCGGACAGCACTGGCTCTTTGGCTTTGAAACGGAGATAAGCACCGCCCCCTAGAGTCGGGAACAACTAGCACATATGTGCGAGAGGAACCTTTACCTTTACCTTGTACATTCACATTAAATTCAAGTAAATTTCATTTACTGCTGCAGGATGGTAATAATGGAAATATATTTTTAAAGATAGATTGTGTAATTTGTCTCATTGGTAAAGTCTTATTTACAAGATCATGAGAATAAATGAAGGAAGCAGGCTTCCCAAATTTTTTTGGGGAGGAGGAGGGCTAGTTCCTAGCAGGGTGGATAAAAATCAATGATTTTTTTAAAAAAATCAAAAAAAATCAGATTTTTTTTATTTAAATCGGATTTTTTTGATTTAAATCGGATTTTTTTGATTTTTATCGAATTTATTTTAATAAAAAACTTTGGGGTAAAAATCTATTGTAAGATAGTTTTCTATTTAAGATACATAAATAATTTAGTTTATTCAGCATGAAATGGAGCTTAGTTATGTAGCATGAGGCTGTATATTCTGCAACACTGGGACTATCGGTGAGTCAACAGTGGTCAAAGGAGTAGCAGAGATGACAGTTGCTCTTTAAAAATTATGATTTAAATCGAATTGATTTAAATCAAGCCTTTTTACTAGTGATTTAAATCATGATTTAAATTGTGATTTAAATCAACTCGATTTAAATCAAATCCACCCTGGCTCCTAGATCCAATTTGTTTTTGTTAGAGGTAAAATATTAATCTCAAATCTTCCAGTAGCAATGCTCAGGTATTAAAAATAGCACCCAAAACCTTTTAGTCAAAAATATTAAAACCTATATAATTGTACTAAATTTGCTTGACACATACCAAAATCATATTCTTTTTGGCCAGGGTGAGAGCCTGAATCTTTCCTATCATTTCTAGATTATTTTTTAGGGGGGTGGGGGAGAGAGAATGACTTAGCATTTGATGAGGGAGAGGAAGTAGAAATAAGCAGCCATGTGCAATTTTTGCAAGACTGCTTTTGCAATCAAGTGGGAAATCTGTACAGATGGGAGCAGAGGAACAACTTTAGGGCATTGAATCTGTCACTGCAGTGCAAAAAATTGCAGTTAGTAATTAGCAGGGCTGTAGGTCCAAATCGTTATGTAAAATTCAGTGGGATAAGAGGAATTAGCCCCTGGGAGTTTTCTTCCTGTGAAGACAAGAGTCCTGCCTCTTAATTGCAAGTGCTTCCCCCCCCCCCAATTCTGCTCTGTGCTGCTTCAAAATTCTGGCTGCCTATCTTTATTTCAGTTTTCATCTGGTAACTTTGAAGAATCTTTCATACCTTTCTGTGTTTAGTCAAACTCAAGTTTCCAATGTGATTTACAAGTCAAAATCCAAAATGAGCCTTTTTTGGAAATTTGCAGCCCTGTATGAAATCGGTGTTTGGCGCTTATGGGTTAGCCCGTTGCAGTTTGTTTTATTCAAATTACATGATCCACATTCTGTTTTCATCCGTGAAAGCGAAGGCTGGCGCTGGTGAAGTGAGGACAGCTCTATATTGGGAAGTTAGGATGCTGTTCCAAAACAATCATGAGAGCATCTAGACCAGTGTTTCTCAACCTTGGAAGCTTGAAGATGGGTGGACTTCAACTCCCAGAATCCCCCAGCCAGCCGTTGCTGGCTGGGGGATTCTGGGAGTTGAAGTCCACCCATCTTCAAGCTACCAAGGTTGAGAAACACTGATCTAGACACAAGGCCTGGTGCAGCTTTGCCCGAGGCTCCCTCCCTCCCTTCAGCTTCAGAGGCCGTGGAATTTGATGGGCGCGAAGGGGGCGTGTTGGAAAGAGGCGGGAATTACTACTTGTCAAGTCAAACATTTCAGCGCCTTTCCTGACAGCGACCAAGACCGCTCGGCTAATTGATGTGGAAGAAGCGTGTTTGCTGTGACGGAGCATTGAACGGGACTGGGGCGGGAAAAAAAGGGGGGGTTTAGCCCCTTCGGCCGCTCTGAAACCCAGAGGAGTCACGCGCAACCCAGAGGAGTCACGCGCACACGGGTCTCTGAGGAGGTCTCAGGCTCAGTGGCCTCCAGCGGCAATAAAGCCACCCAGCCACCCCCCCCACCCCCTTCTCCTTTCCCGCCAGTCAGCGGCCATCCCTTTGCGTGCAAAAGTGGTTGAACGTGGCATTAAACCGGGAAGCCGCTCTGGCGATCCCTCCAGGCAGGAAAATCCTCCCTCTCCCGCGGGCGCAGCAAAAAGAAAAAAAAAAAAAAGAGGGAGAGAAAAAAAAAAAAAACTCCTCCCTCCCTCCTTCCGCCGGGTTTGTGACGGGGCCTCGCCCGGCGGTGGCTTCTGCACGGTGCCTTTGTGCCGCCTGAGCATCTGCTCGGAGGAACCCTCCCTGTCCTTCGAGGGAGGAGGGAGGAGGAAGGGAGGCTGAGGCTGGGCGGGAGCGCCAGCGCCTTTTGTCATTCCGAGCACACAGGCAGACGCGTCCTCGCTCGCTCCGGCGCTGCGCCTGGCCGGGCGTCGCAGTCCAGCCGTCTCCTGGTCGCCCGCACATCCGCCACCTTCCCGCTGCCTCTCTGGAAAGCCCGGTCCGGAGGGAAGCGCTTGGCGGAGGGGCCGAACATGTCTATCTCGGCGCTGCGGTAGGAAGATTGCGAGAGAGACCCGCCCCGCCGGCCGGGGAGGCGCGGGGCGGCGGGGCCCGGGCGACAGCAGCCCTCCCACCATGGAGGTGGGCAAGATGGTAAGGCTAAGGGCATGGCCCAGGAGAGGGGCATCCTGGACCGGTCCTAGAGGACCGGTGGCCAATGGAGAGCGGGATAAAGGGCGTTTGAACTCGCCCTGCCTGTGCAGGTGGGTGATCTCGGGATGCTCTCCCAAGTGGGGCATAGGCAGAAGCTCTGAAAAGGAGGCAGGTCGGCTAAGCTGGCTACAGGATTCCTAGCTGAGCCTCCTTTCCATAGAAAAGCTGGTACGATCGCTCCTACAGCGGTTCCTTCGGGCCCTGGACCAAATCCAGGAAACCCGCTGGAGCGCTCTGCTTTTCCGTTCGTTGGCACTGGAGAAGGGACTTACGAGCTTGTCGCTTCCCTTCCATTTCCCGGAGAGAGTTTGAGGGAGGTGCTTGAGCCAAGGTTGGGATCACTCACCGTTTTTAATTCCACTCCTTCCCTGTAACATTTTTCTCTCCCTAAACGCCAGACTGTTTTTTTTCCCCCTCTTTATAGAAGGATCCTCTTATCCATAATCATTCCTGGCACATCCACTATCATCCTTTCTCACTCTTTTTGCCAATGGACTTTGACTAGAATGGGAAGAACATTTATCGATAGATAGATAGATAGATAGATAGATAGATAGATAGATAGATAGATAGAGGCATGAAGTTTGTAAGAAGTTTGCAGTTTGTTTCTACAGTGGAAGATTGCCTGCTGCCTTCCTTTTGAGACACAAGGCTGCTGTGGAAAACAGAGGGAGCATTTTCTTCTCTATATCCCCAAGAGAGCATTTTCTTCTCTATGTCCCCAAGCTAGAACTGAAGTCAGGCCAGTGCTGATTTTGAGACACAACATGCAAATACAGGTATTGAGATCTCCCTACCCTCCCTAAGAGAAATGGGAGAAGAGTCCTGCTGCAGCTTTCTGCAAGGATTGGAGCTGCTGTTTCAAAGGCTCCCAGAGACTTCTTGGGTTTGTGGGGAAAAGAGTGGGGGTGGGGCACAGGAATAATTTTCTCTCTTGCAATCAAAGCACATAAAAGGGGGGGGAATCAGAACTGCTCAAGCAACAAAAAGAAGGTAGGTTTTATAGCATTGGGGGCCATTCATATTGTCCATCATAGTATACATGAATTGTAAAGATTACTGATTGGTGGTTAGTGACATCATACTATTGTGGTAATTAAAATTATACTCCTAATTAATATTTTAAGGATGACTGGATACTACAGCATGGTGTTGACTAGGCAGAGAGTGTCTTGGTTAAAGCCGAATGAAAGTGAGTTGCTGGCATGTAGCTTCAATGGATTACCTTGGGCAAAAAACCTGATGCATTAAGAAGTGGAGCTAATGGAAAAGCATTGTGCTTCATATTCTACTTGCACATTCTGATATTTTCAAAAGGCAAAAATACTTATTAAATTTAGAAGATAGAACTGGATATCTGTTGCTTTCTGGATATTCTGCTGTAGTTCAGTAATGCTTCCTTCTTATTAGCTTTATAATAGTAGCAATATCAACATGATTCTTTTAAAGCAATGTTCTTTATTGAAAAGACAAAACTCCAGCTGGTCCTGATACTCAATACAAATTTTTAGGTTTATAAAGTCTAGGTGCAAGCTGCAAGGTTTTGGACTTTGGAATTCTGATTTTAAAACAGGTGGATCCTATAAGCTGACATCACAATGTAACACAGGAACTTACCTTAGCAACAGAAAGTCACTTGACTAATAGGATGTTGCAGTGTGTGAGATCTTTTGCAGGGTAGAAAACATATTTGGCAAAGGGATGCCAGAAAGGTACTTTTCCGTTCCTATATCTTGATTTAATATATATATATGGACATAATGAGGAAGATGTCTGTTTTTTTATTTAATAGCTGGATATTATTTGAAGTAGAGATAATACCTTATTTAGCCGTTCAGGATTTTCTAGTTAGCACCAATGCCTTAAAATCTAAAGAACAAAAATAGATGGTTGGCTTGTCAATGTAATTTCCTTAGGGCATCACAGCCTTAATCAAAGGGACCTATAGAGTTTAATGGGCGACTAGAAATATCATCCTTTAAATGATCATAGCTATAATGTTATCAGATTTAGACAAGGCATTTTATTTATGGTCACCCAATATGTATGACTCCAGGCAGCATACCAGCCACAATTTGAAATAAAAACAAACAAAAACCCAGCCCCCTCTCCCCTGCAGCTGTGACAGACAAAATGGAGCAAGCAACTTGATCTGCTTTGTATCAGTTCAGGGCCCCCCAAACCCACTGACAGAATCATGTCTTCAGGGCTTTTCAGAAAAGTAGCAAGGGAGAGGAACAATCTTATCCCCTTGGGAATGATGGTCTGCAAGAAGGGAGCCAATACAGAGAAGGCACTTTTTCTTGGTCCTACCAGATGTACTTCCTTAATAGATGGAACTTGCAATATGCCCTATCTTCCCATTCTTGTGGGCCAGGTAGATGTAACTGGGAAGAGGTGATCCTTCAGATATCTTGGCCCCAAGCCATATAGGGCTTTAAGAGTGATAACTAGCAACTTGAATTATATGTGGAAGCAAATCAGCAATCAATGTAGCTCCTGCAGAAGAGATAACACATGCACAAATTTAGGCTTGTGCAAAACTGCAGCTTGCTGCATTTTTGAGCCAACTGAAGCTTCCAAATGCTCTTCAAGGGCAGCCCTGTGTAGAGCACATTACAATAGTCCAAACAGGAGATGACCAGAGCATGAATGACTATGAGAAGGGTCCATTGATCTAGGAATGGATGTAAGTGGCGCATAACATGTCAGTGTTGACAATTTTAATCGTTCATTCTATGATAATTTTAATCATTTATTCTATGCTCAAAGCATAATTTAGCACTGTTATTCAGAAGTTGATACTAAATCTTCAGATTAGGAGCCATGAACCTCAAAGGTTGAAATTAATATGGGAGATGCTTTCTCTAATTGCATATTTTTTTCTTAAATTTACTATGGTTTGGATGAAGCAGGATATAAACTGTTGGAGTTAGAAAAAAAAAACCTGGTATAAGGCTAGATTTTTTTTGGGGGGGTGTTTTAATATGTAGTAATAGAAAAGTAAAAGAAAGAGCAAAAATAGTATAATTCATATATAAAAAACAACTCAGTTTTAAACACAGCATTGGACCTTAATCACATGGAGTAATATTGATTAGTCCTTCCATTTGATCAATAAAGGACTAATTTATAAATAGAAAGTGAATCCATATTATCAACCCAGCATTGTAAATATAAGGTAGTATTGTCCATCAGATAGGGAGGCTTCATCCTGACATCCTTCCTAGATCTGCCCATACTTGTCAAATAATCCTAGTCTTCAACCCTTTTGAAGAATTTTGTTGACAGAATTGGGGGGGAGGAGCCAAGAGGAAATGAATTATCTAGATTTTTTCAATCAGAATTTAGGTCTGGGCATCAGATGGGAGACTGTAGTGACCTTCAGTACATTATTGCCTACCAGGATCGGGACAATGATTTTCAGTAGTTTTACACCATGAGCCATTGCAATAGTTATGGGGCAGGAGAAATTGGCATGTATATGATGGAGTTATTTTTAATATTTAACATTGTCACTAGGAGAGATCATTTTTTGGTTCAGAATATGGTATCATCCATATGGCTATTGGTTATATGGTTATGATACCCAGTTGTATCTAGGTCGAGGAAATGATGCAATTGAAATTTTGTCCTGATGTCTGAATACTTTTGGGATCTGGATGGGATGAAATTGCTGAATTTGAATTCAAACAAGACAGAGTTGCTGTTTGTTCATCAATGTGTTTTCTCTGCTCCAAAGTTTATTATTATATAAATCTCTTTAAAAGAAGCTGGAAAAAAAACTTTGTTCAAAAAGCCATAATGATAAACCTCCAAAGCATATAGAAGCAAAACAAATCAATATATATGACTTATATTACTCAGGTCCAAGACCTTTTCCTGTTTTCATAGATTTAACAGTATCTATTATTTCCACAAGAGAAAAAAGTACAGCCATATAAATTACTTAGTCTGGTGTAATCTTTGGAGCAGCTTTTTTTTTTTAAACCCAAACAATTTCTCCAGTAACCTTCAACTCAATATTATGAAGTTAAAGGTACAATTGAAGAATTTTTTTAGATCAGTATCATTAGATAATATGTTCTGAGGCCCGGTAATAATAGAGATGACATTACTTTGTTGCTGTTTAACTTAGGAGGCTGATAATTTACTAGGGCTTTTTACTTCCTCCAAATATCTTTGCTTGCTCCAATTCAGTTAATATTCTACAGTATGTACACAAAGGAATGAAATTCTAGTGTAGGAAACATAAAATTTCCAGTGTCATAGTATATGTTTCATATATGTCAAAAGTTTCTTAATTTCCTTCAGTTCATTTTCCTCAATAAATTGTTTGACTGAGAAAATAATGAAGCAATGTGTTATTGAATTTATAAAGAAAAATAATTGCAGGTGAAACTAACTCAGAGAAAGAAAAATAGGAGTAATTATAACATTTATGCTAGGTTTTGAACGAGCAACCTGCTGTTTATAAGATAAGTGTTTTAACTATTGTGTTGTTATACATTCCTGGTAAAAGTAGCTCTGGAAGATGCATGGTAACAAATACCACTGATACAGTTGAGGATGCATTCCTGCTTCTGTAAAATAGGCAATGAACTGCTGGGTTTAGTCCAAAATGAAATGGCCAAAACAGACAGGAGTGCTTGAGGCAAGGTGATGGTTGTGATGGGGAACACTTTTTGTCCTTTCCATGGGGCAATTGAGCTTCAATCTTCTCTTTTCAGAGCTAAATATTTCCAGTTCTTTCAGTCCTCTATACCTATCATGCAAAAGCTACTTTGATACTATCTATCATGCAAGAGTCTTGGTGGTGCAGCGGACTAAGTGCTGTTATGTAGCACTTAGCTGCCAGCTGCCTGCAATTAGTGCGAGTTCAAATCTCACCATTCTCAAGGTTGACTCAGCCTTCCATCCTTCCGAGGTAAGTAAATTGAGGACCCGGATTGTGGGGGCAATAAACTGACTTTGTAGAAATACCGCTTATGGGGGGGCCAAAAGCCCTAATAAGCAGTTATATACAAAACAATGAAGGCTATTGCTATAAGTGCATTGTAAGCCGCCCTGAGTCTGCGGAGGAGGGCCGCATATAAATTGAACTAATAAATAAATAAATAAATAAATAAATAAATAAATAAATAAATAAATAAATAATACTTTGTATCTGGATAAATTGCATTGGATCAAATGGTCAATTTCTACTTCAAATAGGTGCTATTCACTTTCTGTGGTGCTGTAGCAGGATCAGGAGCATTTCTAAAGATTGATGTCTAAAAATTATACTTAGGGAGTTGGTGCACCTTTGAGATGATTTGAAAGCTAAACATGTATATCATCAATACCATCTGTGTTTGGTTTCTTTGTGTTCTTTAAGTCTGCTTTTCTTCCTGCAGACATTTCATTACCAGGCTTGGTAACATCATTGGGGCATAAGAAAGTAGAATTCGGTGGCTGTTTATCTATGGTAAACTATCCCTCTGTGATGTGAGCTAAGCCTGAATGAAAGAGGAGATCCTGAGGATGTGGGCCTCTTCCATCTGGCAAAGACTGGAGGTGTCTGGAAATGAGGGTGGATTGTGTACACAAAAAGCTCCATACTTATCAACCTTACTGTCTGGCACATGATGAATATTCATTCCATTACTCAAGTTTAGTTTAAATGGTATCAATAAAATATTCCGGTTTTCACTTCTGCTTTTATATTTAGCTTTTTTTAAATGTCCCTTTTAGATTATTTCATTGAGATACAATGTCTGTCCTGGAAATATTTTTTTACAAAAAATAATTGCCAAAGAATTTGCTTTTACTGTCTTTTAAAATCAGATCTGGAACATAATAAACACTTTTCCAGATATTAATATCATAAAATCTGGATCCATGCTGGCATTTTGTTTTTTTCTTCTGTCAGTTACATTGTAAGCTGGGCCAGAAATATTCAGGCTGGATGATTGGACAAATACTGTATGTTCTATGTGTCTGAGCCCTAAATAAATTATTGTGTGGGCAAGCATTATTATTTGAGAATACAGTGACATGTACTTATGGGTTCAGGGGTATGTATGAGGTACGTATGTCCTCTCATTTTTCAGCCTATGGACAGTTCTACTATACTCAAAAATCAGTAGTCATTTCCCATCAGTTGAGGCAGGAAATCTAAAATATCATGCATATAAAAGCATCAAAATGGGTAGAATAGAGGGTATTTTTTTAAAAAAAAGCTCTCAAAAACTCCAATGGAAAAATACAAGAAAACTGACTTCATTTGTATGTGTGAATGTCTATCTCTCATCATAGCTCCCAAGCACTCCCAATAATGTTAATATTGCCTCCAAAAGGTTTCCTACATCACATTAGAAAGTTGGAAGAATAGAGAAGCATCCAGTTAGTTTATCGTTTTCCACTGCATTGCTCTTAACAGCCCAGTTATTAGCCAAGCTGTCCACTTGACAGCTTGTGTGTCACTCAGATTTGGCATTGGAGAGAAAAATTCTTCCTTTTGCAGGATTGGAATTTCCACCTGTTCTTTGATTAAGGCCATTTTATAAGTTAAGTGTACCTTCTATTAGTTCTCTTGGACAGTTGGAAAGATGGCAGAAAGGACCTGGATTATACTGAAATGAAACCTGGAAGTATAACCAAGCTAGAACTGAAGAACAGTCTACAACTGAGGTTCCACAGGCTCTATTCTTAATAGCTTAGGTACTCTGTATTCTATAAAAGGAAGCAGTCTTCTCTGTTTATTGTCCCTGAATTTAAATTTAATCTGCAGGTTCCCCCTACTATTTCTGAGTCTACAGACATCCTCAAAAGATGTAATTAGCTGACCCAAGATTGTCTGCTTCTAAAGCCAGTCACTTACGAGTTTAATCTTTGTATAGAGCCAGTAGTAAATGTGTCCCTCCTTGACCCAACTCTGTCTAATTTTCAGCTTAGAGTTCATGAGCATGGATTGGAAAGTAAGCCATGCAATAGAACTGGCACGGACAACTTTTTGGTGGCTGAGACACATTCCTTTTTCATTTGGCAGCCAAACTACTGTGGGTAAGAAATGGTTAGATGATGCAGATGGTTGGGTTTAGCCTTCTCAATGCTATTTGTATCTGAAAATCAGTAAGAAATTGCACCTTGGTTTATTGCTGCTTTGCCATTTAATTTTCAGGGGTTTCAGAGCAGTAAAAAAAAGGGGGGGGGGGTTTGGCTTTCCATGAGAGATACTTGCTCCCCTCTAGGATTCAGGAGTGAACTTATATTTGGGTCCAGACTTGCATGTCAAATTATACATATGATATGGCTAGAAACTCAAAAAGATTTAAACCAAACAAGTTTTTTTTTTTTTGCAGAACTTATAATTAATAGCAATGCTTCAAGATGTTTCTGTAAAGAGAAAGAGGCAAAGTGCTGGCATTTTGACAGCAGAGATTTCCATATTTGTGTTATACTAGGAACTCTTATATGGCTTTACTCTGTTTAGGGAGGGATAATTGAAGAGAAGTAGGAATATCCAGTGCTTGGTTTTCTATTGCTATCGTAGCTGGTGAAGGGGAGGTACATGTGTGTCACCTAGCACACAACATTGTGCATGTTGCAGCTGATAATTGCCTTTTTGGAACCTGTTCCATACAGAGTTGTTGAAACAAGAAGTGCTAAAGAATGAAATTCTTTTGGCTGAAGATTGACTGTTTCCCTCCTTTGTGAGTTATGGAAGCTTTCAACCCTGAGAATGTCCAGTTCTGTATACAAATCTAGGAAAGAGAAGGCTGGCTCTTCAGCTGGTACAGCAGGAAGGAAATGAGGCTTCAAAATTCGGCCTTGCACCCCCTAGTCCCTCAGTTGAGTCAGAGAAATCTCATTCACAATTCTGCAGCTGTGATTAGAATTCCTCCAAAGGAAACCTTTTTCAAAGTTGCATTTACAGTATTGGCTGTCGACTTGGTTCGCCAATGCAACTTCCTTTTTCCTTCCTTCCTTCCCTCCCCCTCCAATTGATAATGTTCCTTTGTAAGATGTCAGGGGAGGTTTAAATACTTCATAACAAGGCAAAGGATCAAGATCTCTGTGGTTTTAAAAAGAGAACTTGATGACTTTCCAAAGAATATTTCGTCTGAGTTTAAATCTAGACTCCACTTGGCAGAGCCAGGAAAAAAAACATTCTTAGCTTCCTAAGAGGCAGGATCCGGTTCTCAAACATTGCAAATGCCCAAGGGAATGTTTCAGATTCCCTGCATAAGCACAGTGGCCCAGCATTAGGAGGGCTTTGGTTAAATGTTTTAGTTTTTCAGTTTTCCTTCTTGTGGTTAGATGTTAAAATAAGAAAGATTTTTATAATGTGCACTTTGGATTTCTGAGTCATGACTATTTTCTTCCTACGTCAGAATCCTAGAAGTTTGTTAAAAATGGGAAGTTACCCTCCATTCTACTACCTTGGTGGTAAATTAATCAGTTATTCATCTTTCCACTTCTTCCTCGGTTTATAACCACCTATGCTGTCAGTCACATATTAAAATCATTTTTGAGTATCCCAAAACAAAAGACTGCATCTCCCAATACCAGAATAGGACATGATGGTCCTGATACCCTATCTTTGTCATTTCCTAAGGCCTTCTGTTTTGGGCTATTCGGAATAAATTCTCCATATACTGTCGCTTATAGCACAGGAGGTAATGAGTAGACATTTTAAGGGCAGGTAAGTGTAGCAATAAAATGATGCAAATTGGGGAGAACCGTGTTATGCATATGGATACGGTTAATGTTTTCTGTCTTTTTGTCTCCTGAGTTATACATACCTTAAGGGGGCATTTTCACTATGGAAATCTGATTTAGGATGTACTGTATATTGTCTATGTTTTCCTTAAATGGCAGGCAACCATGCCATCGTTTTTTCAATCATTCTTGATTAGCAACTGCTTAGGATCTATAAAATAGATCTGGTTATGATCTTGGTTCTTCTGCTTACCAACTATGACATAAATGGTTGAACAGTCTGTTTTGATCCAATTTAGCACTGCAGATATTGAGGGTTGGGAGTCCATTTGACTCTAGATTAGATCTACTGATCTGTGAACTGAAACAGTAGATATCCAATGTGACAATATGATGTTTAAAACAATACAATTTTATTTTTTTTTACAAAAGATGAAAGCAAGCTCCAGTTCCTTTTATGATATCCAAATATGGAGCAAAGTAATGGACAATGCTGAGTCATTTGGGGTGATAGCCTTGACAGGATACAAAGATAGCAAAACATATAATTACTCCTGTGTTTATCTCCATCGAGAGACCTCACAAATAGGAGAGTTGTTTTCTAATTGTTGAAATTACTTGTTTTTTTTCTAGGAGCTACAGTATCTACACTAGTGAAAAATATCCCTTCATTCCATTTTTGTAAAAGAGTAAGCCACTTTAAAGTGAAGTGATTATGAGATTTTCCAGGGGTTTTCTTAATGGAAACAGCTACTAATGAATTTTTTAAAAAATCTATCAAAATAAAGTTACAGTATTTTATAAAGGCAGTTTAAATTTCTTTGGAACTGCTTTTAATTGTATTTAAGCCCAAACCTGCTGGCTTACACATAAGCAAAATTGAGAGTCTTTCTCTCATATCTCAGCATAGTTCTCTCTTCACCCAATTCCTTGCTTTCTAGTGGCAGTTTTCAGCACATCATTGGACTACCAGTAGGTAAGCAGGTCTTCCTACATATTATGGTAGATAAACAAACTAGTGCAATCTACTATGTGGTTCTTCCACTTAAAATATGCCATAAATTTGAAGTTAGTGTCAATTGGTTGTCATGTTGTACCCCCAAAATATTAGTATTCATTCATCAGTTTATGAACCAAACACAGCTAACTTTATGTTTTTAACAAGTGGAAAATATGGCCCTATAAATTAACAAATTGGTAACAGTTAGAGCAATAATTATTATCACCCTGACAAATATTTGCCTCTATGCTCTTGCACCAACCAAGATGGGCTGATTTTGCCTTCTTCCAGCCTAGGAATTCTTTTTTACTCTGACTGGAATCTTTGCATTGTTCTAAGCGAACATTACTTGGCACTTGCTATATATGGCAGCCTGCAGTTGCTTCCCAAAAATGCGTCCAGGAATTTGCAAGATTATGGAGGGCTTGGTGTGAGGATGGGTTTCTGTCTTGATATGATCATATTCTCTCTTACTAACATTTGTCTCCTCTTCCTTCTCTCTCTTTTAAAGACTGTCAGCATCAACAAGGCCATTAATGCTCAGGAAGTTGCTGTCAAAGAGAAACATGCCAGAAATATCCTTTTAAAATTAGAGCTCTGGAAAAAGGATGCTGAAGCTGGAAAGGTGGGATATATCTGGCTGGAGTCAAATTCCATCATGACCTGCCTGTGACAGACTGGAATGAAATACCTTATAGCAGGGGTCAGCAACCCGCGGCTCTGGAGCTGCATGTGGCTCTTTTATCCCCATGCTGCGGCTCCCTGTCGCCGGTCGGCTCCACAATTGATAGGGCTTTCGGTTAGGACAGGTAGAAGAAAAAGGATGCCATGCTAGGAGGAGACTATGGTGGGGGAACTGGACTTCCGGTCGGCTCCAGAATTGAATGGGAGGCTTCCGGTTAGGACCTTTGTGGCTCTTTGAGTGTTTAAGGTTGCTGACCCCTGCCTTATAGCATTATAGTATGAAAAGGAGCTTGCTCCTAACTTT